TCTTATTTTTTAAGGGCCTTTGACAACATGGGCTGGCTTTGCTGAAAACAGATTGCAGAGATTCAATTTTCACCAAGATGCAACAGGAAAAAAACAGACTTATGTCTTGCCAGAGTCAAAAAATCAAATTTGATGGTGATACCTTCAAGTTTATACTTATCCATACCTCCTACGGAGTCCCAACATTTTGATGTGTGCAATTAATGCCTACAATGATATAATTTCATTGTAAGTGGCCTTTACTAGCACCTCATATAATGTGCCTTGTCATCTAGTCTCTAGAGAAAGATAAGTCAAATGGACATTATTCCAAACAATGGAAATATATTAGAAGTATTACATGATAACACCAAAGTACACTGAATAGCCTTATGATATTGTTTTCTATTCAGTGGATGATTATAAAAATTTCCCATCCATGCTTGGAATAGAGGCATAACTAAATGCATGCTACAGGAGTACATACTGTATATGTCTTGCCATTTTTACATTGGTCAAGCCAATATCTGTTATATCCAAAGGGCTGCTGGATATTCTTACAATAAGTCTTTAGCTTATCCTCAAGAAGCAAAAGGAATTCTTCCTAATGAATCCTTTGGAAATAGCTTGCGCAGATTCTGAAAGGAATTTTCAGCAACTAATATCTAGATATCTTCTTGCCTGAGTTTTACAGCTAGAATCTTTGACACACAGGATGCTCTGCTGTTCTGCACTTGTCTACTGTGATAATTCCAAGAGGCCACAAGTTGAGCTGAAGCATCTTTCTCTTTCTTACAAAATGTTTCATTTTGTTACGGATTTTGGTGAAGGCATGCATTTCAGGAAATAAATATGAAATACAGCAAGTGTGACATATGGTGAAGACTCTTTCTATGAGCAATAATAATACTATTGAGAATAGCATAATAATTCTTAATATCATTATTGAGGCAACGTTTCACTGCATATGCCCTATGAACTAAAAATTCAGCGACTGACACTTTCGTTGCGGGGAAAAATGGTTTTAGACAGTTCTTTGTGGACAAAATGTTGCATGCACTTTTGGTTGTTGCACTGTTTCGTCACAAGCAAAGATAGTCGCACTCTCCTTGTCACAAGGGCATTACAAGGGCTGGGAACAGATGCAGCTTGCATGAGTCCATGCATAGGTTCTTGAGAATTATGAGTAGCAGCTTTAAGCTCCCAACTGCCTTTGCCACTTGGACATGATCAAAACTGGATGCATGATTGTGGTGAGTGGATGACTAAGGCATTCCATCATTTCTTATGTGCATCCTACCCTTACAGCTTTGCAACTCACATTGACATGCTATCTTATTGAAATTTTGCCTTACTACAGAATTAAGATACCATAAATGTAGTTTTCCTTTACTTTTAGCTGACTTTCAGTATTTCAGTGCCATTAACACGACTCTAGATCCATGCCCATGAACACAAAATGGCTCACAACATTAAGAATGACTGCAAACCTTTGCCTCCCCTTTCCTTCCCCAGCTGATATCTATGAGGAACACAGAGGCCCTATTCTACCATTTTTGTTCATCTTGCTTTCACTCCTTTCACCCATGTGACTATCTTTGCTTGTGACAAAATAGTGCAACGATCAAAAGGGCATGCGACGTTCTGTCCATGATCATTTTGGCTGTGACAAAAGTGCCAGTAACCAAAAATTCTTGTTCCAATCAAAAAATCTGTTTGAGGAGCCGAGCAAGATCAGGATAATGATGATGCACAATGACAATAATATTACTCCCATTATTTACATTATTATTCTGAGGTTCCAGAGCAATTGCCAGCAAAGAAGTATAAGAGAAATGAGCCACATCCCAGTATTTATGCTTTTCTAGTTCTGAAATACATGACAAAATGTTAGCCATGCCTAAGAAGTTGTTCACTGGGGAGTGTCCAGCAGTATCTGAAATCCCAGCTTCTGGAAATGGTCCTAATGGCCAATAATGATACCAGTTGCATTGATTGTAATGGGAATGATGGCAGTCTTCGTTTAGTACAACCACCCAATTTTGACATTCAGGTCAGCATACTGACCTGAATACTGGTCCAGGTTCTCACTTGTCTTCACTTGGAGGTTGATGTCAGCTGGCATACTCACTTCAACAAGGAGGGCAGTGTTCGTGTAGATTGTGAGATCCAGCCTCTTATAGATAATGGTGCAGTCTGTTATTGTAGAAACATTCCAGGGAACTTTCAGGGTCGAATTCTCTACTACAAGTTGTAGTTGATCACATCACTTCTCTGGGACATCCATGTTAGCATGCATGCACACACACTGTGTACATACACACTGTGTACACACTGTGTACACAGTGTGTACATACACTATGTGTACACACTCTTTGTTCATCTGGTTGCGTCTTGGGTGAGTCAGGACAGGCACCCAGAAGATGGCAAATTGGTTCTAATGGGCCAAGATAACATCAGCAGTATTCTTTGAGAACCTGCTTCATGATGTGCCTCTTGTAATAATGAATTCTAATACACTGGCCCTGGATGACAAGGATGATGCTGTTTGACTAAATTCAACCCTTTTTCAACTAATTATGGTTTATTTATTAGCACTAGCCCTGGCTAACCACTCTTGTTAAGGGAGCTAGATGTTCCTTTCATGGTTTTCTGCCCATCTAACATGTGACAGGTCACACTGAATGCCCATGCACGTGAAGATGCTCACGTGATGAAGGGGATTGTGAGAGCAGTCACCAGTTTCACTTGAACTGAAGCAATTACTAATAATAATGCATGCAGAAGTAGGTTATCTTAGGCTTCCATCATGTTCCTCAGGCCCACCTGGCAGGGTAAGGATCCTGGATTACCACCTTTATAGGTGTTGTCAGGGTTCCTTAACACCTGCCCATGGTCACCATGATGATAGGGTTGGCTGAGAGCCTTCATACAGGGTGTTTCACAAAAATGTTTACCATTTTGAATTGTCATAACTTCTTAATGATAATGAATATTCACTTCAAATGAAAACAAAATCACAGAGAAACTCCAAAATTTTTGTTCTAGTGGAAAATAAGTTCAACATTAACACATCTAGCTGCAGAACAGCCTCAAAGACAACTAGAGAAGTTTTGTACTGCTGCCTTCAGTACTTCCTGTGGAATGCCTCGAACTGCCCTTTGATTCGTTCCCTTGAGTTCTGCAGTATCTGGCATGTCCTGAAGGGTTCATTCTTGCTGTATCCCAACAGGTAAAAGTCTAGTGAACTGAAATCTGGGGATCATGCCAGCCACTCAATGTTATCTCAGTGAAAAATGAGCCACTGAGGAAGTCTCTCTCTCAGCCACTCAAGACAAATGCAGGCAGTATGGCAGGGTGCTTCATCTTGCTGGAGAAACAAATATTCTGTTTGTGCATATCAAGTATCACTTAAATGGACATTTTTCTGGCCGAAAGTGCATTACAAATGAGATTTTTTTTCTTCAGCAAAATGGGGCAACATGTCATACTGCCCACATTTGTCTTGAGTGGCTGAGAGAGAGATTCACTCAGTGGCTCATTTCTTTGCAAGATGACATTGCGTGACTGGCACAATCCCCAGATCTGTCCACTCAACTTTTACCTGTAGGGATACAGCAAGAATGAACCCTTCAGGACATGCCAGATATTGCAGAACTCAAGGGAATGAATCAACTGACAGTTTGAGGCATTCTGCAGGAAGTACTGAAGGCAGTAGTACAAAACTTCTCTCGACATCTTTGAGGCTGTTCTGCAGCTAGACATGCTAATGCTGAACTTATTTTCCTCTAGAACACAAATTTTGGAGTTTCTCTGTGATTTTGTTTTAGTTTGAAGTGAATGTTCGTTATAATAAAGAAGTTATGGCAACTCAAAATAGTAAACATTTTTGTGAAACAGCCTGTAGAAAGGCCCCTCCCTGGTGCAGGGAAGAGGGCTAGTAGGATATACACTTTAAATTAGGGTTGTCAATTTTATTAATTTATCAATCAATTAATCAATTAAAATATTATTACAAGGGGTTTCCCAAAAATTCATGGACTCCAATGGAAAGAAATTACACAGGATTTTTAGATTATTTTCCTCTGAAAGGGTCTTTCTTCATGATTTCTTCACATAATTGCCACTGACCTCAATGCACTTTTTAAGGCACCACACCCATGCTTCAAAACACCCCTCAAAATCCACTTTGTTCGGCTTGTTCAGCTGCTCCTGCACAGCATCAATGAGCTCCTTCCTCGTTTCAAAGTGTTTTCCATGCAAAGGTGCCTTGATTTTTGGAAACAACCAAAAGTCATATGGCACCAGATCCGGTAAGCATGGGAATTCTTGATGTACTCCTTGGATGTCACTGTCTCGCCTGCTTCCAGTTCTCCAGAACTGCCTGCCGGTAGTTTTCAACAATGTCTGCAGAGGTCACAAGCCCAAACTTCATGAGCATTTTCTGCACCATGACAATGCCCCAGCGCACACTCCCAAGGCAACTGTGGATTTCATTGGTGTCTCTGGCATCAAACTCATTGAGCTGCCGCCATACTTGCCAGATCTGGCACCATATGACTTTTGGTTGTTTCCAAAAATCAAGGCACCTTTGCAGGGAAAACAATGAGGGAGGAGCTCATCGATGCTGTGCAGGAGCTGCTGAACAAAGTGGATTTTGAAGCGTGGGTGCAGTGCCTTAAAAAGTGCATTGAGGTCAGTGGCAATTATGTGAAGAAATTGTGAAGAAAGACCCTTTCAGAAAAAAATTATGAAAAAATCCTGTGTACTTTCTTTCATTGGAGTCCACAAATTTTTGGGAAGCCCCTTGTATATGATAAAATTATAAGGGGAAAAATAGGCATTCAGGGGGAGATTAGGGGGTCAGTTAAAATTCAATTAATTTTGACTCAATTTTCTAATCACAATTAATACTTTAATTGATTGATTAAATTAATAGAATTGACAGTCCTACTTTAAATGCATGTAATAAAAATCAACAATAGAAACTATGCCAAAAAAAACTTAAGCTGCTCACTCACTTGAAAGAACTGTGAGGAGGAAGATGTAATCAGAGAAAGAGATGAGTCCAGCCCGACCAAGCCTGTAGAAAATGCTCTCTTCATCAATGTTCAGCTCCAATGTGTCTATCTGTGACAAAAAAGGGACACAGGATGACATAAAGAGGTTTTAGAAGTAAAGAAAAGATATAGATTTCACTAAATTGGGGGGAACATGTTCTTTATCCATGAAGTCACATAGAACATCAAAGTTCATGGCATCTCAATATGTGCATGATTATGCTTGGTTCTCATGCAAAGTCTGTTCCATTCTTGGAATTGGATTTTCATGCAAGGGAGATTTTCTTTCCAGTTAATTTGTGGTATCAGAGCCATCACTCATCACTAAGGTTCATGGTTTGGGCTACACTGTTAAAAGGTATATCCAAGGTCTAGGTCTAGGTCTAGGTCTAGGTCTAGGTCTAGGTCTAGGTCTAGGTCTAGGTCTAGGTCTAGGTCTAGGTCTAGGTCTAGGTCTAGGTCTAGGTCTAATCCATTCCCTCATCTGAGAAAATCCCCTTCAAAGAAAAATGCTTTTGTGGGAGTGTGTCCATCATCTGCTTAGTCACAGCTATGATGGTAAAATCAGTTTTTTTTTCCCCCCAAAAATGTTAATGCTTTGCTTTTCTTTTGCTTTCCATAAAGGCATCTAACCTCTTTTTGAAACTATCCACAGAAGAGGCAGCTACTAAAAATTCATCAAATGCATTCACTGACACTAAAAAAAAAATGTTGTTTGAGTCAAACTTAAGGTCTAAGCAACTTGAATTGGTTCCTGGCCAACCTGCTACAATCAAATCAGTATATCCTCAAATGTTCCACATTAATGAAGTCCTTTAGGATATAAAATACCGAGATGAGATTTCTTCTCTTGATCATCTATTCTGTGAGAGTCGACAATACAGTCCCAATGTGTCTAAACTTCATTCATATGAAAGCTCTACCTCCCATTTCATTTCAGTCACCTGCATCTGAAGATTTGCCTTGGACACCTAATGCCTCCTGAATGCAGGACTCCAAAATAGTTATAACTCTCAAAATGAAGCATTGTCAATAACCTGTGCAATAGATGAATAATACATGAGCCTTTAAGGGCAACTGAATGCAATGAGAAGCCTAAAATCCTATTACATTAGCTGATGTCATATGCATTTGTTTGGCAAATTTCAGGCCCTTATCAATAAGAACAAATTTCCTCTTGCAAGTAGTTACCCCAAGTCCCGAGTCTATCCTCACAAAAAATACAATCAGTTATCCATTATTATCATGGCCAATGTGAAGGACTTTATGCTTAGGGATTCTGAATTTCTTGAGGAAATTTTATTTCATTTCCACCCATCCATAGGCTCCAAGTTCCTCTTGGCTCACATCCTGTTCTCTTCCTTAGATTAAAAAACTCATTTTTATGTTGTCAGCATATTAATTGATTTTACTCATGAGACTTTGACCAAAATCATAATTGTATGACACACAGAAGAGGTCTCAGGATGAAGTCCTGGATGAAATACACTTTTTTACTTGCAATAACTCTCTCTTCTCTCCCTGACACTTCTCCGGTTAATCACTCTTCCTTGCATTCCATGAGCCTCCAATTTCAGTTTTAATCTCATGAAGAATTGTATTGAAAGTCTCAGCAAAATCTAATATACTTAACCAATTGGTTCACTTCATTCATCTCATCCATCCACCCTCAGGGTGAAATGCAGAGAGAGCAGGTCTTATGAATTCCAGCACCAATAAATATGGGAAGAAATGAAGTACCCACAATCCCAATGCCAATCCTGCCCAATAACACAACCCCCTTCCGTTCATTGGGGAAGTTAGAAAATATAAACCTTGACAGCTCACCTTTGGATCAAATCGCCTGAACTGATCAAGTCCAAGGCCTGCAGAACAAAAGAGAGACACATCATATCAGATCACATGTGCCTATGTAATTATTATGAACACTGATCATTCTTATATCATTCTACTTTTATGAATTTTTCAGCAACTTTGAGCTGCAACCTAGCTTTGGTTCCTTTCTCACATGGGGTCCATTGATGAATAGATCCTTCATAGATCTCAAGCAGCTTTAACCCTTGACTATAACCATGAACTTTTTCATACTTTCTGAGGTTTAATTCTGGGATATGGGATAAGAAATTGAGTCCTGCTGTTCTTTCATCAGACCCTGGGCACTCACTATGTCTAGGGTTTTGGACTGCAGAAAATGTCAGTAATTATCTATCTGTCATGACAGGGAGTGGAGTTCCCAAAAGTCCTAAAATATGAACATAAATATTTGCTTCGAAATGCCAAAATATGCATGATATATGAAATGAAGTGGGAAAATATGCAAAAATGTGCCTTTTATAACCCAGAATGAATTCTTTGCAAAAGGGAATAACAATTTAGTATAAGTGAGACAAATTTTGACCACTTTAAGATTAAAATGTGTCCCCTTATCTACAATTTCAAATTGATGGTTTTGGGATCTATACCATTAGAGAGGAATAGGCACACTCCATTTAAGCTTTGAGACCAGACAATGTACAGTGGGCCAGCGATGCATAAAAATCATTTTTGTCCGTGAAATGAAAGTCAGAGATAATGGCCATCACTGATGGAAAATGATTGAAGAGGTAATTACTTATTTCGGTTATATTTATTTTCGTCACTAGATGGTGCTTTAGTTGAGAAAATGTCTGCATACTTTTTGATGGTCGATGCCATGTTTTAATGAAGTCACAGAACAAGATGATGGAAGCTGCTGCTAAGTTGAAATTGGAAATATGAAATCATTTAAAGTTGATGCTATCATGATGATCAACTTACTAACTTGCCAGTTATAATACTATTATGATCCTTCCATTACTTGCAGGAAAAATAAGTTAGTCCTTAACTTGAGTAAAACCTCTCATTTTTTGGCCTGAAAAATTACTAAAAGTTTAAATTGCAAAGTCATTCTGCAGAATTCTGTTTTCAAACTAGGATAGTGCATAGGGCTTACTTACTGTCACTAGCGAGCAAGTAGAGTTTCTTGCAATTGTTGCAGATTTTTCTGATATAAATGAAATTAATATGCCTACTTATCTGAGATTTTTACATTCTCACTCCCTCCCAAGGATCCCCCTATGGCGAGGCCTGACAGCTTCTTCGGGTCTTTAAAAATTTGCTTGGAACAGCCTGAAAATCATATGAATCTAGCTAAACATGTTCTGAAAGCAATATTTAAAAATTTCCTTTCACTATAAGATAATGTCGCTGATGTTTGATTTTTGCACATGTTTTCGCCATTCTGGCCCACTGTGAAGTGGTGTTATTTGATAGAAAAATGTAGACTGGATTTCTTGCTAAATTGAATTATGTGATGAAGAGGTGGATTTCATAACAGGATTGCAAAATACCTCACCCTAAATTTCAGACAGAAATCCTTCAAATTGCATATCAAAATCATTCCCTTCTGCCACAGCATGGAGAAGGGGAAGTCGGGTGATAAAATTAAGTTCCTGCAGGGCATAATTAGTCTATTCTTCTAACAGCACATGATTGGGAATAATATTTTCATTGTGGCTTATCAAGAAAACATGTTTTTCTGGAAAACTTTGTTTTTTGCAGAAAGGGATGAATATGTAGATAAATGTATTCAATATATCTTAGAAAAAACCTAAACATGCATTTTAATTAGGGCTTTAGGGCTGTCAATTGATTATAAAACTTGATCGATTAATCGTGAAACATTTAATCGATTAATCGAATTTTAATCTATCCCTTAGTTCCTCCTTGAATCATGTCCTAGGCATTGGGAATGACTCTGCTTGTGTCATGCCCAACACCTAGTGACTCAAGGTGATTCAGTTGCTAACATAGCAGTTACTATCCATACATATACTAATTCATTCTAAAAGTGACAAGTCAACTTTGGCATGACCATCTCTCAGGGGCAAACGCAGGAATACAGGAAGGGAAAGCACAATATAAAGACATCTGAATTACGCGAGGGGAGGGGGGGTGGTTGCAACGAGACTGATCAACTGAGAGCGCCGTAAGTGGCACCAAGCTCCTTGACAGTGCCCTGAGCCCACCCCCTCCCTGCGTAAGCCCCTGCCATCAATATAGTACATGTCCACACAGTCAAGACCATCCACTTAGACCCACATTTATTGCGTCAAAGAGTAAAAAATAAGAACTCAGAAACTTCTTTCGACGATCCTGGATGAAGGAATTCTCGATCGGAACCATCATTCCTGGCCTTCACATTGGTCACGCTGTGTTGAAAGCGGCACCCAGCAATTCCCGCAAATAGTAGAACCAGTCGGACACATTCACGTTGTTTGCACTGAGCAGGCTTCCAATGTCTTGTTCAGTGCATTTTATGTTGAGTTCCTAATATCTTTTGCTCTTCGACACAATAAAGGTGGGTCTAAGTGGGCGGTCTTGACCGTGTGGATGTGTACTATTTTGATGGCAAGGGCTTACCCAAGGAGGGGGTGGGCGTCTGACAACGCCCTCAGCTGGTCAGCCTCGTCGCAACCAGATTTCCCCCGCCCCTCGCGTAATTCAGCTGTATTAATATTGTGCTTTCCCTTCCTATATTCCTGCGTTTGCCTTTGAGGGATGGTCATGCCAAAGTTTAAAAGAATCCTTAATAGACGACCAGCCAAGGGCTCGAAAAGCGTTTAGAAGTCATTGACCGTGGCATAGAGTGTTACAAGCAGGCATCCATGCTGGGTCTTGAGCTATAATGCCTGGGTGGATGCCAAATTGAACTCGACCCCGTTCATGAGATACGAGATCAAAAAGGTCAAAATTATAGGTGTTTTGAATCTCGCCTAGGACAGAGAAGGTATTAAACGTTCGCAATGAAATTTTCACTGAATATTCCTGAGATATGGAGGTTTATTTTAAGCCTGGAATACCACCATTCGAGGTCAAATGTCAAAAATGCCGAAAAAAAGGTGAAAACCGTCTACACTTAAACGTATGCACTGGCGCTTCTAACAGGTTGGTATGGTTGAAACTGCACCAAAAACTTCCCACAATGTGTATCTTTATGTCCAAGAAGTTCTGTGAATCTAGGTCAAGGGGTAAAGAAGATGCGTCCATAGTACAGTATATGCATTATGGACGACTGGAGGCCATTTTTGTGACGTTTCGTCTCGCATCTGCTTCACCCCTTGACTTAGATTCGCAAAACTTCTTGGACATAAACATACACACGGTGGGAAGTTTTTGGTGCAGATTCAACCATACCAACAGTGGCGGATACGGGGGGGGGGCAACCGCCCCCCCTATGGCCAGGTTATCATTTGATTTATTCATTCAAAATAGTATCTGCATTAAATTTTATCAGAGCCATTGAAATAGACACTCAAGTTCTTACCCCAGATGAAAAATAAAAAAAGGCGAAAGGACAAGGAATGGTGGTAGGCGGGGGGGGGGGGGGGGGGGGGGGGGGGGTTTGGGNGGGGGGGGGGGTGGTGGGGGGGGGGGGGGGGGGGGGGGGGGGGGTAGGAACTTGGAACCTGTGAAAAATTTCTGTATCCGCCCCTGCATACCAACCCGTTAGAAGCGCCAGTGCGTATGTTTAAGTGTAAACGGTTTTCACCTTTTTCAGCATTTTTGGCCATGGACACGGGATGCGTACCAGTATGCTTGTGGGTGCGAAGGGGTCAGGAAAATATAAAAAATATATCGTCTGAAAGCGATGGCTTTGTTTTTGTGTGTTCCCTTTTTCAAAAATAGTATGTCGCTTTTGAGGAAGAGTGAGCAGTGCAAAAACAACTACCTTCTATGAGCCATCATTACATTTCATTCCCTTGATAAAGCATTCGTTTTCGGTTGTTTTGCAAAACTATGAACTAAACGTTAAAATTATAAGGGGAAAAAGTGGCATTCAGGGGGAGATTCGGGGGTCGATGAAATTTATATTAATTTAGACTAATTTTTAAGTCCTGATTATTACTTTAATCGATTAATCTAATCGAATTGACAGCCTTAATGGTAATGCATTATTAAAATAGCATTAATTGCTTGCTATCTCCAAATACTTGTTCCTATGAGGCTGTAGAAAAGAAATGCATCTGCATAAAAATCTACTCCCTAGTCATAACTGTAATTGAGCTCCAACTATTTTCCTTGAACATGATGACTGAAATTAACCTTTCCACATTTAAAGCCAGGCAAATACATTACTTTCAAAGGCCATATTTTCCTAATGGTTTCCTTGCCTAGCAAATTGCAAGAAAAAAGTCCCCTCCTTCAAGAAACCACACACAAACAAGGATTGGAGCAGCATGTTTCCAAATGGAATCGAATCTCACTGTTTTTAATGGCACCATGTATACTAAAACATATTAGGTTGATGCAGACTGAGTCTACAATCTGTCCTCTGCCTGTATAACCTGCCCTTTCATTCTTAAACATCCAAAATCTGTACTTTTATGCATGAAAATCTACATATCCAAATATGTTTATAGTATCATGCTCAGTTGGCTTCAATTTCATTCAGTTCCTATCTGCCCCTTGAGTATGGTTGTAGCAGAGATAAGCAAATATATATGTTTTCAGTTTTACTTTGTCAATTACAAGAAACATAATGATGCTGGTTTTATTTTTGCTTCCTCATACTTTATGATGCAAACTTTCTTAGTCAATTCTGAAGGAAACAGAATGAATAAGTAGATGAATAAGGTAAGGGAGATACTCAGGTCAGACCTTCAGGTTGGAGTACACCAGGGGTGATGGAGCGAAGGAAGTCATCAGGGGTCATGTAGACTTCTGACTCCCCCGACTCATAGATCACACGCAAAGTTGCAAAGTAGCGGAAGATCTTGTCTGGGGTTGAGTATGCCCTGATACGGTTCTCGTATTCAATAATCTGCATGTGCATAGGCCATCAATGCTCTCATCATCAGAAAATTAATTTGGTGAAGTATCTCAGTGAAAAATGAAAATTATTCAAACTAAAACTAACATGTGAAAGTTACATTTACTGTGACTTGATAGCAGAAAAAAACAGTCAGTTTCAGAAAGTGAGATACCAGTAACATGTAACAGAAATGAAAGGTCTTTCAGTCATGAAGCACAAAATGTTTTCACAACCGTCAGACATATCTATAAAATAAAAATTAGTAGTTTTAATTGTGTTCCATACATGATTTGTATGGAATGTGACACCATCCTTTTGAAAGTAAATGTCCTACCATGTTGGTGCCTTCCTTTCAAGGGCATTTACTTTCAACAGGATAGTGCCACATCCTAAAGAGTTTGCATGTCAATGAGTTGCCTGTGACAATACTTCAATGGTCACATCATCTCTCAATTTGGCGACATTTCATAGCTTGCAATATCTCCAGATCTAACTGTCCCAAATTATTTTCTATTGAGCTATTTGAAAGAAAAGGTGCGGCAAAATAGGCTTTGCACATTACAGGAACTTGAAGAAAACATCAGAAGTAGCCAGAATAACCTCAACATTTTGCAAAGAGACTATCAAAAAATTTGAAAACGTTCACTTTCCTGTGTTGCATCTCAGAGACCATTTCAAAGACACTATCTTCCAAAACCAAAGTTGTAACATGTTGCACTTGAATTGTAAAACCTTGAATAGTATTTGTGTAAAATCACACTGCTTTTGGAGCATACATTTAAAAATGACAAAGCATTTACTATGTTTCAATGTTTCTGAGTCATCCTGTATAAATGAAGAATTATAAGTCTCAATTAGAAAGGGAAGAACAGATGGTTGGAGACAGTTTTGCCAGAAGTCTGCTTCTTGGGCACCTTTAACCTTTTGACTGCTGGGTTTTTATGGGCCTGTAATACCCCCTGTGCTAGGTTTTCCCCCCAAAAATGCAAATTTCAGCTGTTCTTGATATTTACTTAAATGTGGAGCCATAATGAGTGATACATACATATATGATGTCCATTTAAGTTGTTAAATACCTGACCTTTAAAATGGTATTTAAAATTTAAAATGCATCGGGACTGACGCCATATGGCTGTCAGTAGCAGTCAAAAGGTTAAGATGTGACTGCATGGGTCAGCCAAGTATTTGACCAAGCATTTGATTTCTCACATGGCTTTCCTCCTTCCATGAAAGATGGAAAATAATGGGGAGCCCAATACAAATAGTATGATATAAATGCCAGCATTATTTGATTCTTCATGTTGTAGAGGGAGACATTGAGCCTCCTGGGGATGATTTCAGGATCTTATGAAATGTTGGAGAAGAGTCTAGACAAAGATATTGCAAATACAGCAAATTATCTCCTTCATTATCATATCCACTTCAGTCCTGAGCATTTTCCCATGTACAATACAATATTTCTTTTCAGTATTGGCTGTGCCACTTTGAACAGTTTCTTGGAATTCATTGCTAGAGGTAGACATGCTGCCCTTCACAACTCTACACTTATTGACAACTGAACTTTCCATTCCAAATAAAAACTGATTAATGCAGAAAATACAAACATCCCAAAATCCAAGCACCAGAAAGGCATCAGGCCTGGGAAAAGTAACACTGGGCTCCAAGAGCCAAGTTCTCTGCCCATGTTCCAAAGGACAATATGGACAAGTGAGGAAAAAATGTCAAATTTTTTAATAATCTGGAGGAGAAATTAACTTTTTTCCCGAATTCCTTGAGCAAATGAAAAATATCCTACCCTTTTTTTAAATCTAATTATTCCCTCTTCATCCAGCACATGAAGGGAAATGCAAAAGTCATAACAGAAATGTTGGTACAATGCAATCTCAGCATTCCATAACTATTGATACTATTACTACCATAACCAGGGTAAGAACCCCAGTTTCTGGTCAGTCTCCAGTTGTTGGCCAGTGAGGCTTAAATCCAGCATAATTAGTTAACCAGTCTGTTTTCAAGCATTCTATCAACATCTTCCCATATGAGGACCTATCACTAGTGTTTTCTGGTGTGTGCACAGGGTGTCCACTTCCTATGAGAGTCGTATCAATGAGGCCAAAAACTGGGGTGTTTACCCTACATGTATGTATCTTACTTCTCCACATAGTCCATATGCACAGCAACACACTTCTCTCACCATTGCATCCACTTGTCATATGCATCAAAAAAAGAATTATGCAAGATGGCTCAAAAGCCATCATTATCCAACAACTACAGTCAGGCCATCAGAATTATCTAACCTCCATCCACAAGGGAAATGTTTCAGGGTAGGAAAGAGGCAGAAGGGTGAATATGAGTATAATCATCTCACAATGTCCACTTTCTTCACATTCTTCATGAGGAATTCAATGTTTTTTCCCCACAAGTATTCTTAGCCAACTCTGTTTTGCCCTTCAGTGACATCAGCATGACTGAATTCATATCCACCAAATTGGAGTGGTTACAACCTACCCATCATACTGATGCGAGAGAATATATTAGGTTACATGTCTGGCAGTATCTTGTCAGATTTTCCACATACCAACATTTCTGCCATGACTTTTGCACCTTCTTTTGCATATTTAGCTATATACAGGGTGTCCCAAAACTCCCAATCTATTTTTGTGATTAGCAATATTTTCTTCAATGTCAAACATTTATATTAAAATGAGGGACCCCAACAGTGAGCAGCCAGTATCAGTTTTACAAGTGTTCATATTGTCACTGATGGGGAAAATTAAAGTTGTCACCTGGAGATTGGAAGGGATAACTTCCAAAGAGATCCAGGCTAAGGGTGGTATGCAAAACATAAAACTGATAAAATAGCTACTTTGGGGGGGTATCAGAAAGGGTTGATAAGTTGGCCATAGGCCAACATTCTATACATATTATGATTGGATATCATGGTATGTATACAAATTGCTTTAATCTATTATGATCCAGAGCTTTTTTATTCTGCTTATAATGAGCTACCAGGGTGGATGCAGTGCATTTTGCTAACTTGATGAATTATGTGAACTGTCACAATTTGTGCCAAGAGCAACCTTCTGGGGCAGATTAAAATCCCTTAGATTTCTTTGTATCAAGCCATAGCAATTGGAATTAAAGCACAAGTCTGGCAAATGGGGTCAGATTAAAACCATTAAATTATTACACAACACTCTGGTCAGTCATAATTCAAGAAGATACATGTGGCAATGTTTCTGGTGCAAGATGATGGATAAGAGGTTGTCATCAGGAAGATTCATGAATACCTATCATAATAAGTATGTTATATCTATCGTCCTATGTATGAAGATATCTATCAAAAGTGACCTCATGATGGGTGTCCATTAATTGTTCTTGCATACGAACCTAGCAAATAACATTGATAGATGTATTGCCTGATATCTATTATGATAGCTACTATGTTATGGGCTATCAGGTGAAAGGTTCTTGCATATGGGCCCCAATACTTCTGCCCCTGTCCAGCAGAAAGGAGCATAGTGATATCACATGAAGACTCATGGACATGTACAGCTTCCTGATAGCTCCCCTAGTCGCTCCTCCAAGCTACAAACTCTGCATACCTGGCATACCTCTCGTTCACTAGTCCCACCTACCCAATCCCCGCAACGAACGCATCTACACATCCTAGGCATCTTACTTAATGTTATTGATCCATATTGACACTCCTACTGCATTAGACTTAAACTTTCCAATACTTCATGCTAGTTGTAACCCGGTAAGACTGTCCTGTCCTAGTCCTTGTAGTAAAAGGAACTACTATGATTAATGCGCTAATAATAAAAGTAATTAAGCTGATTGATACTGATCTAATGTAAAGTTGGAGGTAGCTATCAGGAAACATATGAATACTGCTACAAAGTAGGCAGGTAACAACTAACTCACGACTTAGCTGTCAGAACCTCAAGAGTATCCTCCAACACGTCCTCACGCTACGAACGCTCGACCAAGACTGAAGTCATAAGAACATCGCTGGGTAAAATAAGCTAGATAAAACCAAAGCTGAGTTTAACTATTTCCTGAAGATTAAACTTGGGCAAAAGTACAGGGCATGCAATAATATATATGAAGTTATATGAAGTCTGTGTAATTTTCACTAGGATTTGGTTGGAAAGAAAGTGTTGCAACATTTTCTAAAACTATTTATAAAATTTTCAGAGAAATGATAGGCGGGGCTTTGCATTTGCATATGCTGGAATGTTCTCGAAGTTTCTGCCCTCGGGGTATATAAGGCGGCTTCTGCCATTAGTTGGCAGCCATGGCTCCGGTCGAACGAGCAACTCTTTGCCCCATCGTCTACCACGAGTTCCTCCAAGGACACTGCGAGAGACGCCGCGGACAACATCTGCGCTGCATTCAAGGGCAACGTCATCCACTATTCCATGGTGTCTCGATGGTTCAAACGCTTCGAATTTGGCGACACGACCTTCGGAGATCCACCACGCTCAGGATGTCCATCTACAGCGATGACGAAGCCCTGCGGAAAGCCCTCAACGAGAAGCCGAACGCCACCACTCGCGAATTGGCGACTACACTTGGAGTCACCCATATGGCCATCGGCAACCATCTGAATGACCTCGGCTGTCGGAAGGTTTACTCGAAGTGGGTCCCTCATCAGCTCAGCGACTCTGACAAAGCAAGCCGTGTCAGTTTCTGCGAATCACTGCTCCTTCGTCCGCACAGAAAGGAACTTCTGAAGGAAATCGTTACTGGAGATGAGAGCTGGGTCCTCTATGTCAACCATACTCGCAAGAGTCAGTGGCTTCCACGAGGAGAATTGCCGCCACACGAACCGAAACCAGGGTTCCACGACAAGGTTCTTCTCTATCGTTGGTGGGATTCAGAAAGAATGTAGTACTATGAGCTCCTGCCAACCGGGACCACCGTGACTGCCGTCGTCTACGTTGCTCAACTTCAGAAGTTGGCTGGCGTCATTCAAAAATAGCGTCCCAAACGCGACAAAGTTCTCCTTCTGCATGACAACGATTTCTGCAGAGTGTTGCAA